GGGGCGGCGTGGAGGGACGAGACGGCCCTGAGGCGGGACCCCGCGGAAATCGTCCCCCGGCCCCGGGGTGCTCGGAGGGTCCCCCCGGGTGCCTGGGGGGGCGGGAGGGCCGGCCTCGCCTTCGGGGCCGGGGGGCCTGGCCGCCTCCGGGCCCCGCAGATTGCCTCCTACGTCCTCTGGGTGCTGCTTGCTACCTTCGTACACCTTAAGGTACCTTCAAACGGGCAGAAGTAAGGCGGAGGGGGCAGTTTATCCCTGTATATCGCTTTTCGCAGCTTTTGGGCAAGCTCCTTCTTTTACGTGTCTTCCATTTACATGTTCGGTCACTTTTCGTCAGGTTAAGTCGGTTATGGAGAGACCAGTGTGGTAGCCCCAGCGACACAACTGTGTATGAATGCAATAGGGATATGGTCGTCTAAACGTAAACTCAGAAAAAGCAGCAGAGAATTGGCATTCCTCTCTTATTAGGGCATGGATAAAGCCAACGAGTCTTCTGTCATCTTATACACCAGTCTGTGGTTTCATTACCTGCCGGGGAGGGGGGGGGCAATAGCCTAGGAACCCTGAAATCTGGATTTCATTCCCAGCTCTGTCACTTCGTGCGCACTCTTGAGAAGATTGTTTGTCCTCTGTGTCTGTTTCCTTATCTGTGAGTGGGAAGAAGAGTACTGATTAGAAAGCCAAACTAAGTGTTATTGTTATTGAGGTTTCTCAACTGGAAATTGAGGTGTTATTCAGTCAGGTTCTATGTGTGCCTTTAATGAAAAAAGACTCACACGGATTTTAAACGAAGAGCCTAGAAATCTGGGTGGAAAGTGCAAAAGATTGCCCTCTCAGGTTGAGACCGTTTGTAATTAGAGGTGTGGAGTAAAGTGTATTTTCACGACCTGAGTAATAAATAAAGCTAGCTGTATTGTCTTCAAAAGTCTTAATTCCTGTAGGTTTGTCAAAACAATGTAAACATCTGTATGACTATGCCACCTTCTAAAAGGGCAGCTGTGGTCCCAGCAGCCAGACAGAACAAGACATAGGTTCTTTGGTGTCTATTTTCTTCACTAGAGAAAGGTTAGCTACTAAAGTTGAAAATTATTCTATATAAGCATGATATAGAGAAGCCCGTGTCTGGTAAGTTCTTTGTTTGGTAAATGAATAACATGCTTTGGAAGTCTTATCTTAGTTGTTTTTAAAAATAACTTATTTTGTTGAACTTATTAACAAGTGGTGTTCTACATTTCAAAAGCAAAGTGTTGGTGCTGGGAGTCAACATGCACATCAAAAAATGTCAGGCAACAGCTGAAGACAAAGGCCTCTCTTTACAAGGACTTAAATAGAGCCTTTGTGGAAGGGGTAGTTTTATCGCTTAAGCTTTCTTGTTAACCCAAAACACTTTAACTGTGCAAAGTAGATGAGTAAGCTATTTACACACCAGAGTCCCTTTTCTCCTCTTAGGCTAAGAAAGCAAATAGGAATTATGTATTCATGTGTTGTCTGTAGCTAAGGCCAAAGGAAAAGGTGCGATATGTAGGCCTGCAAGGTGAATAAATTCTACACAAAGTTAGGTCACTTCCTGTTTCAAAATTGTGTAATGAGTTTTGGGAAGGAGGAAGACTTAGCTAGCCTGTAGTAGGCATAATAATAAATATCTTTGCAGCTGTCATTGTTTGCCGGCATCAGTAGAAGGAAAAGTCTGAAAACAGTATGAAAGCTAAGTTCCTTTCCCACTAGCAGGAATGGATCCTGGAGGGAACTGACCAGACAATCTGCAGAAATTTTGCTCAGCTATTGCCTGTATTGTTCCTGCTCCCTAGATAAACCAGAATTCTAGCCTGTGGGGTTTCTGGCCTGCCCTCTGAATTCCAAAGAAAAACAAGGCAAATCAATGCTAAAATGTTACTATGCTGAGTGTATCTTCCAATCCGCTGTCAGATAGAATTTAGCAGAGGAGAAAGGATGAATTAATACCATATTTTTTTGGTTGACAGAGTCAAAAACCTAGAATGGCAGGAGAACAGAAACCATCCTGCAATCTTCTTGAGCAGTTTATTTTATTAGCCAAAGGCACAAGTGGCTCAGCTTTGACTGCTCTTATAAACCAAGTGCTGGAAGCTCCTGGGGTTTATGTCTTCGGAGAGCTGCTGGAGTTAACAAACGTGCGAGAGGTAAGAGAGGAATTTCTATCCTAATGCCCTTTCTGCCCTCCCAGTGTAAAGGATCCCCAGAAATTTCCACAGATGCCCTATGCTTGTAAAATTTCTGTTCCAGGAAAGGCCTGATGTGACTTATCTAGGTTCTGTCTTGCAAGAGGCATACAGTGCTTTGGAAGGATCTGGTGAATATGAGATTGGCATCGCTTTTGCTTGTATATAGTTAGGTGTTGAAAAGATACCTATATAGAGCTTTGCTATGTGATTGCTACAGCAAAATCCTGGCAGCAGCGTAGTAACAATTTTAAGAAGGCATCTAGCCAGCCAACAACAGAAAAAGTCTTTCTACTCCTTCGTTGTCCTGGAAAGCATAACCTCAATGCTCTCCAAAAATCTTTGTGAACAGATGTCTAGTGTATCAGGCCTGGGTGGTAACCAAATCCAAACCATTTCAAACCAAGATGGAAAGTAAGTTCCAGAGCTTTTAGAGATAATGTCTTGCCAGCAACCCCCTTTACTACGATGAGGGAATCTAGGTTGAGTATCTCTGCAGCTGGAGTAATATGGCATAGAGCAAGTTCCGTTTTCCAAACGGGCTCTTAGATATGTCTAAAAATGCCTCCGTGGTTATAGAGGCAGGTTTGTTTTTTCCTGGATCTATGTGTAGCAAAAAGATATTAAGAAAAAAAAAAAAAGCCCTCAGTGAAAGTCACTTATTAATGCTGCAGTTTTTCCAGTGGAGTATTTGTATGTGAGAGGAGAGCTGTTACTTTCAGATACACTCAAGTTAAAATGTTCTAGCTTGCTTTGCTTTGAAGTTTTTCATCGCTCTGCAGGTAAGCTGTCTTAGCTTTCCCATTAATAGCAAGGATGCTTAACCAACCAACGCTGTTTTCTGCTTGCCTGTCATATAATGAGAAGAGCTGGCCTTGTAGGATGTCAGCTAATGCTAAGAGACACTTTATTCTTTTACCTCCCAAGATGCTGCACCAAGCAGTTGACAGTCCAAACTGTATTTAAATTCTGGTGCATGGTTGCATCATCTTGACTCTAAAACTGCTGAAATATACTGCTGTGCATGAGACCATGGAAAGGGTCTAGTTCTCTAAGCCCTGGACAGTTTCTTTTCTGGGTATTGCTTGTCATTTGTAGACTTAAAATGTGCTCTGGAGAAGCTGTCTACTGGTATAGTATGGGCTATTGTTGTGTTAAATGGGATTTCTTCTATTTTCTTTCCTTCCAGCTTGCCGAAGGGCCTAATGCTGCTTATTTCCAGTTGCTGAATCTGTTTGCATATGGAACATACCCAGACTATGTAGGTAAGAACCTGCCTGGTGTTTGCAGCTTATGAGACTGAATTGCACTTTATAATTGTCGGAGGCAGTTCTGTGTTTTCTGTCGTACTTGGTGTAGTGTGGTGGGGTGAAAGGGTCGAAGCACAAAATTTGCTTGGAAGGAGAACTGTTTGCAACTCCCTGGGTCGTGTGTGCTTTTCAGTTACTGAAACGTGGACGAAGGGCTATAGTCAGACTGTGGTATTTTATTAGTTTGGCTTGGATTCCAACATCGAACTGAATTGGTCTGTAGCAGTGTTCAATGATGTTCACAGGCCGCTTCTCTCTGTAGAGAGCGGTTTGAGACATCTACATTGAAATTTCGATGATGCTGGCTATGGGAGCCGCAGAAAACTTTGACAAAGTTGTTCTGTGTTATTTCTAAAAACCTATGTGGTTTATAGGATAACCTTTTATTTTGTGACTCCATTGCTGAAACAAAATGAAAAAATTCTTAAACCGGAATATAAATTGAAATAATGGCTTTTACACAGCTTCAAAAAGGTTGTGTGTGAATCATCTGTGTATCTGCCTGAAGGTGCTGTGTCTCTTGTGCTTATGCTTCCATCCTGCTACAATGTAGTACTTATTTGTGGGAAGCAACCTGGATCCAGAGTATTACAGAGTGTGACAAATAATTCTGTCATAATGCTATGAGTGGATGAGCTGTCTAGTTCCTATAAGGAGAAGTGGCATCAATAAAGGCAAGGTCTGGAAACTTCATTGGCAATGGGGCAATATGATTCTCACTAATTCTGTGGCTGATGAAAGGATGTTTGCTTTGCGTGGGTTTTACATCCCAGCATGTGACAGTGCAGTTCCTTCTTTACAAACAATTTCTTGTCTAGCGTTGTTTTGTTGTGACTGCTACCTTTCACCACACAGCACCCCAGACATACAGTTCACAAAGCAATTTGGCCTGCCCAGAGGAGTTCAGTTCTAAAACATCATGCCTGTGTGTGAAATGAGTATTCTGCTCCTGGGGGGGAGGGGGGGGGACAGGGAGAAGCTGAAGAAGAGTGAAAAAAGAGAAAGGAAGAAAAGTAGTCAAAATGTAGAGCATTGAATGAGGTGAGATGAGTGGGAAAACTTGAATGTCCCTTAAACATTTGTTTTCATTAAAGCAGATATTTTAAAGAGTTTCTTTGCATTGGAAAGCAGCCAGTCTTTTTTCTGTTTTTAAATATTCATGAGGCACGTGGATGTAATATGGTGACAGTGAGGCCATATAAGTATCTAGATTAATCATTTCTCCTCTCTTCCTCAGCCTGGCGCTTAACACTTTCAACCCTAAATTCTGTAGCTCTTCAGAGGGATAAAGCCAACTGTATCTTACAGCCGGCACAGCAAAGAGGGAAGGTTTTATTCTGTCAGCTCACTAATGAAATAAAAATGTCTTGGTGATAGGAACAAAGCATTGACCAACTGTTTTGGCAGGACGCTACTTGTGTAGATGTGAATTACATTCTAATTCCAGAACCAGAATTACTAAAGAGTCAGTGAAAAATGGAATTGCCAACTTGCTTTTTTAACTTTTCCTCTCTCTCCAATGGGTATGTTGATCTGTCGTCAGCGGCAGCTCTCTACTCATCAGCACCCACAGTAGCTGGAGAAGTTCAGTCTTTCAGGAGGGTGTGGTTTAACTGGCCTACAATTCTGCAGTCCGGATATATAATTCTTGAAGGAAAGTACTGAATCTTGTTTTGTTTTTGTGTTTTGTTTTATTTTTCTTTAACAGCAAACAAAGATAACCTGCCTGAATTAACAGTGACTCAGAAAAACAAGTTGAAACACTTGACGATTGTAAGCCTGGCTTCCAGAATGAAGGTGAAGTACATCGTGACTAATAACAGATTTAAAAAAAAAAAAAATTATTTCAGTTGGCATCTATTCTATAGTACTGTAGTTGTATCAAATTGCAAGTCTTCCTGTGAAGAACCGTGCAACTAGGATAGTGCCTGTAATATATAGCGTTCTCTCTTGGTGCATTTGGGACACTAACTTAATGGACTTTCAGGGATAAGAAGTGGGAGTGTCTCAATAGCCATGCAAATTGGTTAGTAAGGCCTGGGACACTTTGTACAACTTCTTTCATTGCTGAGGATGGAAAAACATTCTTAAAAACACTGACTTTTTTTTTCCTGGGGAAAGTGTATCGACATTCCTAATTTCTTCCACAATCCCAGTACCTCTTTCCTCCAGAATGTGCTGTGCCAAAGCTTCAAGAATATCTAATTTGTGTCAAAATATGATCTAGCCTAATACTAAGCATCTCTTCTGCCACGATCAGTCACTGCTATGCTTGCAGGCTAAAGTGTAGAATAAAATAAACGTTTGGGTGTTGAGCTTCTGCCAGCCCTACTTCTATTTGAGACTTAGCTCTTCGTTTTGGTTCTAGGACTGATAACTTATTTTTGAACTTGCTGTTTCTAGTGTATTCCCTACTCTGTGTTACTGAAGGACCTGGACATGAGGAATCTGAGGGAGCTGGAAGATCTCATTATTGAAGCGGTTTATACAGATATTATCCAGGGGAAGCTGGATCAACGCAATCAGGTGCTAGAGGTCGATTTTTGTATCGGCAGAGACATTCAGAAGAAGGACATCAGTAACATTGTCAAAACACTTCAGGAATGGTGAGGCAGGCTTCTCCAGCTTGCTTATTCCTTGTGCGTAGTCTGTCCTGGCTTGAAGTTTCAAGTGCTAGCTCAATTTCAGCATGTTCCGTTAATCAGCAGTTGTATGCTGTGAACAGGCACTTGGAGAAAGTGTCTGTTGGACAAGATCACCAAGATCCCATCTAGGATTCAGTTTGTGTTCATATATCAAGCCAAATTGTGCTCACTCTTAAGAATCTGCTGTCGCCTTAGTTTTTACCTGGCAGAACCCTAGCTAGGAGTCAAGGGCTTCTTCACTCATGCCAAACTGGAATCACAGTCTCATGGTATGAACCTCTCTCCATTCTTTTGTTACGCTTGATAACGGAACAGAACTGTCCATTAGTTTTCTGCTTTTTTCACTGTGATGAGAACTGCATGGGCATATCCTGTAGAATCACAGTTCTTAGCAGGTAAAATCTCTTCAAATGTGAAGTGCCAGATGCCTTTGTTTGCCTCTTTGTTCATCCAAATGCATTCTGCCTGCAGCCATCATATTCAGGTTGGGGTACCTTTTTTCCTTTTTATTTAAAAAAAAAAAAAAACTTTTACGAGGAAGCTGCTTCTCAACTTTTTGTAGGATTCTCTTCCCACTCAGAGAAATTCCCTTCTATGCTGTGGAGCCTGTGGCAGGTTCTGAGTTTACTGATAATTTCCACCTAATTGCTATGGTTGTGGGTGCATGAAAAGTCATTAAACTGCTGTGCAAATGTGCTATCCTGAGGTGAGGACAAGTTGTTTTGCTTCTCTGCTCTACTCTAGCTCCCTCCTTTCCTTTTTGGAAGGAGGGCTATGGCAGCTCCCAGGACCTTACAGCAATGTTTGGAATGTAACAATGAATGCACTGCAGACTCCCGCACTGCAGACTCCCTTTCTGTCCTTTTCAGTTATGAACTCTGTGTTGGAGGTTTCTTTTTGTCTTTGAAACACTTAGCAGGCGAGGGAATTCTTTCAATCTGACTTTTATTGACTAATTTTAAATTTTATTAACTCTTGAAAAATGTGTTACATCCCCCTTTTTAAGCAGTAATTCTGATTTAAAAGGAGGCTGAAAGCTTTTTCTGCTCCCGTCTGGGGCACCTTCACCAACGTACTTGCAGTTTTGGTTTTGCCGTGGCTGTCCTGCCCTCTTGCAGAGCCACAGAAGTGCATTGAACCTGCACTTACTCTCACCATGTACTTAAAAAATAACATGGACTAGCTTAAAAAATGCTGTGAAATACATCAAGTGAACAGCAAAGTCTTTTCTTGGTAGCTTTTTTGGAACTCTAACCTGTGAGTAGGAAGCATAAATTTAAAAATCTCCTGAACTTTTAGGTGAGCGTGACTTTTCAGATGGCCTGATCAAGTTGCTCTGCAGAGAATGCATGAGCAGTGTTTGACACTGTTCATATTTTGCAGGTGCGATGGTTGTGAAGCGGTTCTTTTAGGAATTGAGCAGCAAGTACTTAGAGCCAACCAATACAAAGAGAACCATCACCGAACTCAGCAGCAGGTAGAGATGGAGGTAGGTGCAGAGTCATTTTTTAAAGCACGCTATGCTTTTGATAAATATTTGTGCTTTCTGAAGAAATAATCTGGTCAAACCTGGTTAATGACCAGGGCTTCTCTGAAGGAGGCCAGCAATCATACAAATTAGATGCCCTATTTTGGGATAGGAAAAACACACCTCCTCCCACGTTCTAGTAACACATCAAATCTGACCAATGATGCTAAGCGGTGTGGAACTTTTCTCTTTTAAAGTGGGCTAGATGGGTGCGCTAGCTATGGTTCTGTGAATTGATTCATTAGGAAACAAGCACTTTTAACACAGAGCTAGGACACAATTCCGTTCCTTCTGTGTAATGAAGGAAGGAAGAAAGAAAAAAAAAACTAGTTTGCTTTTGTTTTAAATCTGAGAGTGTAATTAACAATCTCTCGAGTCTTATCTCTTCTGCAAAAAGTGCCCTTAGCAGTTTCCTTCTGGATCTTTCTTTTGGTGTCGAGTTGAGCACCCAGAAAGGGCTCTCTGAACACCCCCCGTCTTCACAGGTGTGAATTGGACATGCTCTTGCTGTCTGTTGGTCTCGCAGCTGGTCAGTAGATGGCGGCATAGGCACGCAATTTTAGCCTCTGCTGGTGTGTATTTACTTGGGAGAACAAATCTTGGCTAATACAGCTGTAAAGGTGAAAATGGTCCTCCAGAGACACTTGTTCAGGGTTTATTTCTTGCAGAGTCCTGCATCCCTGCAGGTCTACAGTTGCCTTTTGAAGCAGTTTATGCTTGGTGGCTTGATTGGCATCCACAGTGCATTTGTTTTGCCAGATGCCTTTGGCCTGGAGTTGGCACACCTGACTCCTAGACTTGTTTTGACCTGTGGGTTTTTTGTTTTGTTTTGTTTGTTCGCTCATATACGCATTGTGTTTCTGGTGAGCCCTACAGGGCTCCAGGGGACAGAATATGATGCCTGTGCTGTATCTCTCCTTTTCAGCCAGAGCAGCAGAAGTACTGCTGCTACCTTCCATGGAGCAATTCCTGTTCCTACTTCTAGCAGATATCTGTGACTCGGCCAACTGGCCAAATGTCATATTCCCTTTTCGCTTTTGAGCACTGTCCTAAGTGTAAGCTTGCTTCTTTCCACCTCCTTTGTCCTTGCTACTCCTGGCCAACGTAAGAGGAAGGTGGCTGTCTTCTGCAGCAAAGCAGTACCGGGTCCTTCCAACCAGCTAGGAAGGTGGCACCATATTGTGCCAGTGTCTCTTAGAAGATATAAGTAACCTCTAGTTGTTTCTAATCCAGGTCCAGTGTGGAATATTAACAACTCTGTCTCTAAGTAAGGACAAAGTGTTACCCTTAATAATCTCAAATGTAGAGCGATTAGAATGTTTCTGGTGGGAGAGTTTTATTTTATAACCTCCACTCTACGCTCCAGAGGTTTTTCAATGCATTTGTGAACGGAGCTTCTACTGTGAGAGGAGGAAGAAGCAGGTGCTGATTCACTGTCTCTTCTTGGCCAGGTCACAAACATAAAGAAAACATTAAAAGCCACAGCCTCGTCGTCGGCACAGGAGATGGAACAGCAGCTGGTAGAGCGGGAATGCCCTCCGCATGCAGAACAAAGGCAGCCCACAAAGAAGATGTCCAAAGTCAAAGGGCTGGTCTCCAGCCGTCACTAGAACATGCCATCTAAATGTCATTCAGCTAGGAATGACAGCAGGAGGAGCAAAAAAAGGGCCCGTGTCTCCTTTTTCAGTGGGTTCTGGGCCAGTCCCTTTCAGGCTGGCAAATAAAAGCCCTATTTGAATACAGCTCCCAGTTAGTAGCACCTGGCTAAGTTACACTGTGCAGGCCCTATTCGTTTCCAGGGTGTCCCTGTTTTCCTGGCCCTTTAAAGAGGGACTTCTAAAAAGAAGGACTAACCAAAGGGGCAGAAAAAGAGAAATCTGTGGACAGTTTTGCTCCTTCCCAGCCAGTCTCACTGTTGCTCAACCTTGAGGAAGCTGCTGTACTAAATCAGATCTCGGGAGAACTTTTACAGCAAGTGTCTGAATTCCAGGGTTGAAGTGTGGCTACCAAAGCCAGGCTGGGAGCGAGGAAGCCATCAACACAGATCTTCCCATTCCCAAAGGGAGCGCAGAAAGGTTTCTAGGCCAGGAACTGCTTTACGTGGAAGTCTTCAGCCTTTCCGCTACCCCTGTCTATTTTAAACTGGGGTGAAATTCACACTACCTCGCTCTGTGAAGATGAGATCCAGTGCTGGGCTGTTTACTTAACTGTCTGTTTACTGCCCTTATGAAGCCCTTTAATCTCTCACAGATTTAAAGCACTGTTCTGCATCTCTGAGGCACCATAAGGAAGAAGCAGGCTGCTCTCTCGGGCCTTCCTTCTTACAGGTAGTTAGGGGCATACTAGCAATTGTGTTCCTTCTGAGTGTGATGTGATCTCCCAGAGCTGCTTGTGAGTTGTTCCCCCATCCTTTAAAGGGTAATGCCTTCACTTTTCCTTGGATGCTAGTGACAGTGGTCTGCATAGGAGAAGAGCCCGTTTAGTGCTGTGACAGGCTGGTGGCCCAGGACCCGCTGGCAGGGGTCGCAGCAGCATCCCCTTGCTGAAGCAATGGACTTGGCTAGTATTTCTGAATTTTGAACACTTTCAGGTTGTATTTCCCTCCCTTTTTTTGTACATTGTTGTGATTCTAAAGCATTTCAGCCTTTGTTTTGTGTTTTTTATTTGTTACAGACTAACTTCAGGTGATTTGCACCTAGTTTGGCAAGGTGTGGGTTTTTTTTAAGGGGGGAGGATGGGGTTGACGTTGAAACAGCAAATGACTAAAAAGCACATTTTGGAAAAAATTAAAAATGCTGATTTCATGTCAGAGCCTGGAGTCTTGGCTTTGAGGTTGCTTTAGGCTTGTAGTGCAACAGCACTTGTTTGCATAAGTGTTCATTTGTTTTTTTGATGTTACGTTATCAGAAGGTCTGACTGCGTCTCCCTGACATGTCTGGGAGGTAGTGAAGTACTGTTCCCATTTTGTCAGTAGCTCATCTTTGTCCAAGTTCATGCAGAAGGATCTGTGGCAAAGCCAATAGGTGAGCCCAGTCTCCTGAGCATAAACACCCGTGCTGCCTAATTGTGGGAGATTTGAAATTCTGCTCTGTCTTAGGCCAAGTTGATTCTTTACTTTGGGTCTAGCAGAGTACTGTTTTGCAGTTTGGCCCCTCTGTTTAACTTTACTCCATGTTGTAAAGAGAAGGGCTTTCCGTGAGCTGGAAAGGGAGCTGTTCAAGCAGAGGACTGTGACTGAGCTTCAGTTGTGCAGCCAACTGTCACCTGCATGTATCTGGTGCAGTGCACGTGCCTTCCTCTTACTGCTACCAGGCTTCTTTGCCAACTGTGTGTTTTCAGTCCTCAGCCACAGGACTTGTACACTTGTGAGAATAAATTAATCTTCTCTTCTTCTCCTGCGGTGCAGGCACACCAGCTTTGAATCCTAAAAGAGATCTAAATACCTCCCAGCCAGCTGCCTCTGGGTCAAGTCTCTTGATTTCTGATTCTTTGCCAGCTCGTTCTCTCCCCTGAAAATGCTAGCCAAAAAAGTTCTAATGAAGGCTGTCAAGTGAATAAGCCCAAAACATGAACCCTTCTCTTTAATCTCAAGGCATCTCTTCCCAAGCAGTGATTGTGTTAGTTTCTATACTAGCTTCTCCCAGCGCTTAGCTGACAGCTTCTTAGGAGGTATAAGTGGACTTTATGTACTCAAGTCTAATGGATCTGTGTGATGAAGATGGACTGAGTCCATTTCTGGCTTCTTGTGTAGTTTGCTGTGGTGTACCGGTCATCCAGTTCCTCACAAGATTTGACTAATGAGGAAAAGTTCTGTGGTCATCGCTAAATTTTTTTTCTTGCCATCCCTTTTCTAATGTCGGTCCTGCAAAGAGGCAGAAGGAACGCAGATGCCTGTGGAAAAAGGCTTACCTCCTCAGCAAGCCACAGCCTACTGGGGAAATTGATGTGAATTTGGCATCCTTGATGTTTGTTCCCTGCCTGCTACAGGAGCCACGTTAGTTTGCTGAAGCTTCTTTAGTATATTGGGAGTTCTTGAGTTTGTTCTTATGTTTGTTGTTGTTCTCAAAGCCTCACTGTGGGAGGAGGTCTTATTTGCACCTCAGTAGGCATTGCCTTTGATCAGCAAAGAAAGGAGGGAGGAAATAGCACTTTGAATAAAGATCTATCCCATGCTTGATGGTGCAAGAGATGGGAAAGGACAGAGAAGGGATGGGGTGCTGGAGAGACTTGAGTTGTTCTCCTGTGTGGCTTTCCTGGTGTGTTGGCTGTGTGCCCAGTGTCGCAAAAGGAAGGGGGCGTCTTTGCAATGAGCCTGGTCTGAGATGAGTCACTAACAAATGACATGCAGAGAGTACCTGGGGGAGGCAAGCAGTTCTGCAGCAGCTGGTTAATGAATTTGGCTTGAAGGAAAGAGTTAGATGCTATTCCAGGAATGGAGCGTAGTTGTTAATGGGGAAGAATGCAGGAGGTGCAATGCTGTATGAGAAGGACAGCAGATAAAAACTTTGTTGATTTCATGTGACTGCAGGGAGGGCAGCAACTGGGAACAGAGTTATGTGAATTAGGGGCTGGTGGGAGTTGAATTGTAGACAGTTTGGAAGGGAGCGTCCAGAGAGCTTAATCCTGTTACGAGGATGAGAGAGAGATGGAAGCAGAAGTGGATTTGATGCAAACTCCAATGTATTGCATGTGCCTGTTAGAGGCAGCTAACATTGCTTGTCTGAGCACTGCTGGACGTTGCTCCCTGAGGTGGGGAGAGCATCCTGCCCTACTTTGTTTTTATGGCAGCAATGGGCTGCTGCAGCTGCAGCTCACTTCAACATTGCAGCAGGACAGAGTTCAAGCTATTGAACTTCTGTTTGCTTCTTCCACCCGGAGAGAGAAAAAGTAGATGGAGCTGCCTTCCTTCTGCTCTTCAAGGTTTTATTATCTAGCTTCATATTCTGTAGCTCCACTTGTACTAGTACTTGTTTAATATGGAGCTGAGCACTGAGCTGGAAAATGAAAGAGGATCTCAGCCGATTGCAGCGCTGGTAGACTGCCCTAGCCCTAAAGCTGTGCCTCATGCTAACAAACGTCCCCGGCGTTCTGCTGTGGCTCAGTTGATAGCAGCTAATATCAGGCAATTCTGGAACATGGTAAAGCAATGTTGATGACAATCTTTTTACAGAAAGAAATTCTGACTTAAAACCTATTTTTCCCCCCCCTCGCCCTTAGATAAGTTCAGTGGTAGCTCAGTGTTCTGTTGAGAGCAGGAAGGGTCTCCTGACAGACCCTTCTGTGTTCAGATTGGAGGCCAATCCTGCAACTAGCCCTGTGCAGACTTGTGAAAAATCCATGGATGCCCGTGGACCTTCATGCAGGCCTGGAGGTTTACCCTGCTAGGGCCACAGTTAGCTTGAAGCCCAGTTTTCAGACTGACAGCCAAGTGGCACACAGCCTACTGCTGCTTGAGAGGTCTCTCTCTATAGGTCAAATAGAGGAATAGGAACTGCAGGGCTGCTTTCCAGAGTGAAGATGAGGAGAGTGAAGCTTTCCCTCTCATGGAAGAGTGGTAGTAAGAGCTGGCTGTTCTCCCACCAGCCCTGTGAAGTGAATTTTATTGACTAATGTTCAGTTTCTGAAAGAATGGAAAATGATACAGAACTTTTTTCTTTAACATTCTGTTTATCCTATGCATTGATACATGCACTCCAAAAAAGGATGTTGAGTTTATTCATTGCAGGGAATGCAGAAGTGAGAGGACGGTTGACTTGGATAGTTCTGTTAGAATGTGACAAATCGCATAGGTAGATCAGACTTCTCCTAAAAGTCCAGTTCTGTACAGATTTATATGAATGCTGTCTAAGCTGTTTAGAGAGGCCCCACATGTTAAAAACCAGACAAAGCCCACTTCGTCCTGGGGTAAAACAGTCAAAGTATATGTATTTGTAGGCTTGTTGGTGCTGCTGGTTTTCATTTTATGTGAGCCTTTTGCAAACGTTGCAATGAGAGAAGCAACATTGTTCTTTATTATTCTGAAGATGGGGAAGCAGATTAAATAACTTGCCCTACAATTATACAGACGCAGCTAGTCGGACCTCTTGAGACCTATTCCTGTATAATGTTTTAGGTTGTTTTTCCCCCACTAAGTCATCTACAGCATCTGACCTAATCCAAGGAAACCAAATAATGGAACTGTCTAGCTTATTTTTGCACAGTCTGAGAGATAGTAACCCACGGGCATCAGGAAGGGTTAATTAGACTGTAAAGTCGTCCTAGTTCCTATTTGTAACCTCAGTCTTGTATTTGTATTGTGGATTTTTAGCCTAACAGTCTGAATTTATTTATCGGCGCTTTTTTTTTTTTTTTTTAAAGAAGTATGTCATTGTTTCACTTTGCTCTGTGGCAAAGGTTGATGTCTCTGGGGGACTGTTGACATTTTGCTGATATTTCATCAGTCATGGCCCTATCACAGAGGAAAGTGGTTGAAGCTAGAGAGATGTACTGTTAAGAGAGCAGGTATTTACCCCCTAGTCTGGTTGGCTGCACCCTGCTTCTTAGAGGCACAGTGGTGGTACCCCATCTCTGATCAGTGAACAGGCAAAGGATTAAGCAGAGCACCTCTTCTCTCCCTGTCGCCAAATGGGCAGGCACACGTGCTTCATTTCCCACAGCATACAGATCTTGTGAGATGACCTGATGTATTTACTACAGGCTGCAATTGCATGAGTGTGATAGCTATGACCATGGCTTTTCCTTGGGAAGAAAAAGGGAAGATGTTCCTGCACTACTGAGTGAACATGCACACTGGAAATTCTAGATAGTAATGGGATGCCACAAGGTGTTTCTCCACAGAGCTCAAAAGAATTTGTGCCAGTAGTCCTTGCTTGATTTAGTTTAATAGAAGGTAGGAGACCCTTCCACAGCTCTAGGTCTCCTGTAGAAGGTTGTGAATCTTGGTATCACTAGGGCATTTTTCAGATGCCCATGCACAGATGATATCTCTGTGTTTGAAGAAGAGCTGATTGTGGTGGGTAAGGGAAACTTTGCTCTGTTAGAGATCTGCCTTTTTGTGAGTTTCCTGAGTTTCTCTGAAAGCGGGGCCATACCCTCATAGGTATGAAGTTTGGAAGCTGTGCTGTCTGGCCTTCCAGACTCTCCTTGAAGAAGCTGTTTATCTCACTAGCCCTGATGTTTCAATCCCTGTCTCACGATCAGCACAGTGCTAAGGCTGCCTTGCTCTGATGCGGTAAGTAACATCTTGGTGTTTCATTGTCACCTTCACAGCTGTTAGAGAGCACCAGTTCCTACAGGATCACCTGCCAGCTGTGATGCTATTCCTTTTACATCATTGTGGGATGACACCTCTCCAAACTGGCAGACAAGCCAGGTGGGTAGGCACTGCTCCTCAGAGCTGTTCTGCATCTAGGGGCAAAGGCTATTACCTGGTTTAGCATAATGGAAATCAAGGACAAGGACACCAGAAGGTGCTATAAATAAGGAGTGAAGCACAGAGCTGTGTCCTAGTCCAGCTCTGCTACAGATGCAGAGGGTAACCTTGGGCAAATAGCCGTTCTGCACCTGAGTTTCCCAGGACAGCATCTCTCACGTGTGATGGCTGTGACAGAGGTTTTTAGAGTGCTTTGGTCTCCTGGCTGGGCAGAGGTTCATTGCTGATGTAATGAAAGAAGATGTAGCCCATGTATATGGGAGGGGAGAATCTTAAAGCTTTTTAAGCTTTTCTAGAAGTCATCTTCCTCATTTAAACCATACCCTGCTTTTCCCCTGATGCAAATAAGTTGTCCCATTGTGGGAATATACGCCTGGAGTGTTATGGGTAAAATGCCAGGTTAATTATGGAGGAGGCAGGAAAGTAGCCTGTGCTGTTTTCAACAATATCAAAGGGATGCTACCTAATGATTTTCCTATTAGCTCTTTTCCCAGCCTGCCAGAGTCACTGCAGAAGTGCCATTTACAAAGGCAGTTTGCAAGTGATTACCCTGGATTTTCACTGTAGTTCTGCTCCAGAGAGTGTGGGCTTTTGCTGCGTGCCCCAACCTAATGAATTGCCTGATTTGGTTAGTGCTGCCGTCCCTTCTGACAAGGTTAGTTGCTGACTGACAGGAAGGGGCCTGCATTCAATTCCCTTCTTGTATGCCACTTGTGCTTGTGTCAAGAGAAGGCTCCCTCTGGAAGCTGCCCTGTGATCCCTTTCCTTTGTTTTTCTGCCTTCAGAGGGAAGCAGTCCATGCTTGGAGAAGTCCTAGAGCAAGTGATGGAGGCGTGTGTGCTGCTACCCCGGCAGTCCCTGCTTAGTGTCTCAAGTCCTTTTCCAGCTGGAAAATTCCATGGCTCTCTTGCTTTGGGGCTCTGGGCTTCTCTTTCTCTTCATTGCTTGGGGACCTGCTATCACCTGAGCTGAGCTTCATAACCCTTCTGTAACCCTTTCCTACCATGGAAAAGCTGCATTAATGATACAGGGGAAAAGCATGCAATGTGGGCTGGGAAAATAGAGCTGATTTCCAGTGTGGTAGAGGGCAGTTGTGTGTCTTGTGGGAGCTCCAAGGTCTGCTCCAGCCTGCTCGTGGTTTTACAAGGCGCTTGCAAACAGCGCTAGAGAAAACTCCGTGTCCTTTCTCGCTAGACAGCAAGCATGCCCTTTTAGGCTAGGGACCTATGGTTCATCTCATGCTGTGAATGGCTCCTGAAGAGGGGAAATCAAAGCTGTTGCTCCCTATGTCATGTCACACGTGCTCCCAGATGAAAGCTGAATGTGAGTACTGCTCATTCAGCTGGTCAGACTGGAAATGTAGGTTTCACGGGTGTTAGTTTGAGCTCAGTGTTGGCAAGAGGAGTTTGGGACTCCAGCCACCCTCACTTCCAGCTGTTTGTTTACACACACATCCACCTCTGCTAAATGCTATCCTCTCCAGAGCTCGCCTTCCAGAAGTTGGATGCCACTCCCTGAGGCTGTAGCTTGCATCCAGGACAGCTTTTTCTGTTCAGTTACGCGCTCTCCTTGCTGGGATGTGGCGAGGAAGTTTTCTAGTGCTGGGCCTGGATCCTTTTGCTGGGTATCATGAAGATTTAACCTGGCTGGTCCACAAAGGAGTCGGTGAAGTGAGATCAACTTGTTTCCAATGCATGTGATGCCTCCTCCCCTCTTAATTGGATTCTTGTGTCTCTTCTCTTTTCTCCTGGCCTAGTTTCCTACTGAGCCCCTGTCAGGGAGACCTAATTGTGGCCTTATCGGATGCTTGCTGTGCTCTAATGAGCTGTCTCCATTTCCCACTCTGGCCCGTCTGCCAAACTGAGGAAGGTGCTTGTTGCCAGTCTGGAAACTGGCCTCTGCTTTCAGCCCTGCTTTCTGCACTCTGCCCTGCAGAATAGCCAGACCTGTCACGCTGGCTGGGCCCTGTGGGTGCTGAGGTTAAGTTCATCTGAAAGGTTTCCCAAGTGCTCTTTCACCCCTGAGTGCTGCCTTCTCTCTCGCACATCATGCCTGTGTGTGGGTGAGGGTTCATGTTCGCACCCTGCAGGTGGGAAACCAGCATGCTGAGGGACAGGGTGACTTATCCATGGCCAGAATGGAAGCGGCAAAGCAAGAAGCCAGACTTCTAACCTTTCCTTCTGCACAGGGAGCTCTTAACTGTGATCGCTCTCCTACTGCCGAGCTAGCATCCTTCTGAGATGTAGCTTTGTCTCTTCTGTTAGACTTGCTCTTTTCTAGGAAGCCCAGTGGAGGGAAGGAATCCATGCTGTAGGGGCTGTGCCCTGCCCCTCGCACTGCACTCTGCAGAGGAGAAAAGGGAATCCAGAGCCTCTGTGACCCCAGGCTGTGATCTCTCTGAGGTACCCCCAGCCTGAGCTCAGGTGATTGTGCCCTGGATAAGCTGACAAATTTTGTGCTGTGAAATCCTTGGATCAAAAGTTCCATCTGCTCTGGGCTCCAGGGGCCCTCTGCCATCAGGCAGATGGTTTCATTCTAGCTCTGCTTTTGCAACAGAAAGCTAAAGCTGGAAGGGAAATTTACCTTGGTCCCAGCCTGGTGCTCTATTGACTTCATGCTCAAGGAGTGGGACCAGCAGTACCATCTTCTTGCACTACTGTTCAGACCTGGTGTGCCAGGTCTTGACACCAAGTGATTCCTTATTATCCCTTGGGTTTGCTGAGTGACGCTGGACAGTCCCCTCTGGGCATTTCTTAAGGAGCATAGTCCCTCCTTTCCTCTAAGGATGTGCAGAGCAGGTAGAGTGAACTTTGTGGATGTTATAGTTGCCTTACAGAACTTAGAGCCCTGACAGTGGGTTGTCATTACATCTGGACATCTCTGGAGGGCTGCTCTAGTTGACCCTGAGGCAGGGCAGAGAGCTGCACTAGCTGCCCTTCCTGCCTCCCTTGAGCCCTACCTGCAGGCATCCTGAATTTGTTCCTAATAGGCAATGTCTTATACGGTCCATCAGCTGCTGCTTCCCATCCAGCTGGACTCTGTGGGCCCTGTGAGGTGGGTGCCTGTTTCTGATGGAGGATTGCTCTTACAAGGCTAGAAATGCCACATGCACACTTTAACCTGATGCTTGAGCTGTTGGTTGTCTGGAGGAATCCTCTTTGTCTGTAAAGCTAGCGTCCTCTAATAATTGGGGAGAGCCTGGCTGGAGGTTTCTGTGGTTTCCTGGTGGTTGCTAAGGAAAGGAATCTCTTTGCCTCTAGGTCTTGACGACTTTCTTTTTGCCCTATCCCAGGCACCGGAGCGCAGTGGTACGTAATGCTTGTCGTTTCCCAGCCCGCTACAATGGTCAGGGTATAATTTGTGACTCTCATCACGGCTGGGCTGGGCGCCGGCCGCTCTTTTCTAAGGCCTCTTTGAAGAGTGAGACCAAAGAGCCTTCATACAGGAGTTTTGCTCGTTTGCCGTGCTCCCCGCCCCCTCGCTTGCTGTTTCCTTTAGAGTTCTGAGTCATTTTAATGATTTATTTCATGCACTTTACATAGCAAGAAGCTGTAGCAACAGCTGTGTGTCCATGAATCCTTACCAGGCAGCTCTCAGTATGTTTTGGTCTGTCTATATATTGTCCCAGGCACAGTTAAATAAATCTCTCTGCTGGAGGAAAGGACTTTACAGTTTAGTGGTGAGTATTAGGAGAATGGGACTTAATAAACTGCTAGATTAACAGCACCTCCATCACAGAGCTCTGTTCCCACTGGGACAGCTGGGGCAGGTCTCTTTGCTTTCGGCAGGGATTGCATCTCCGTATGCACGTACGCAGCACTCAGCGATACCGCTATATTTATGGAATGAAATTTGGACCCAAACCTGCAGACAGGGAGTGGTCAAAACGCTCCTAGGCCAAATGATGCTCTTGTCACATCACTGTCCATCTGGATTTAGGCTGTTGAATGTGATGGGCTTGTTTCCACGGGTGCAATTCAGGATCTAGGCGATAGATGAGTTGCCTGAGGCTGCATGCTCTTGCAGTGAGTTCAGCTGGGTTCTGCACAGGCTTGTAGCCGCACACAGCGCTGGGCAGGATTCGGTCCGTCAGAACATCACAGGATTGGGTGCAAGTTTACTTTGCATAAGGGATCAAAGCTTAAAATATCAGCTGGCCTTTCTCTTGCTCTTGACTTTTCTAAAACATCTGAACAGTTTCTTCTTTAACTCTGTTAAAATCAATCAATCTGACATTTAAATTGTAAGTGAATTTGATAAATAAAGACAGGTTACAAAATGCCACACGGAATGATTTTCTTTTAAACTTTTTCAGCTACTTAGGACAAAAAATGTTACAATGCTTGACTTTTCATTTAGTTACATAAATAATTTTTTTATAAATATCTCTTTATAAACAATATATAAATAGCTTTACAACATAAATACATTTATGCATGACATGAATTTACAAACAGCAACGTTATACAGCTGGCTTCATCAGTCTCTTGGAAAAGCACTGTCCCTTGTCTTGGTGAGTGTTTGTATATATAATATATATAAGATAGCACTTTTTAAAAAAATAACAAAACCAAAACAGCTGGTGCCATGACTCCTCGTACCGAAAAGAGAAACACAGCCACATCTTTTGTCCGTTTCGGGGCAGGGGGGGTCTCTGCTCTTCTAGGCGTTGCCTGGGGGGTGGCCATGCATGGCCACGGTAGGAAAAAATGGACTGCTGCTTCAAAGCCCTGCAAGGAACAAGAATCAAGTGCCTGTTAGTACTTGCCTCACAACACCCATTACAAGTCCTGAGCTGAAACCCCCACTAGAATAATCTGGGCATGGGGGAGGGATTCTGAAGTCAGCAGAAGATCTCTCCAAGCCTTTTGCTCATGCTAATGCTAGAAAGAACTTCACCCTAGCTCTTTGGTACTTAATGGCAGAGACTGAGGGAAGCTCCTGTTTCCCCTTGTCCTGGGTCTAGCAGGAATTTTGAGGGTCTTGAAAGAGCTTAGCTTTTCATCCTGTGCACCTCTGGCTTAGTCAGACTTTCCACCTGTCTAAAGCTTTACAGACATGGACGGACTGGATCCGGAAGCTGAATGCAAGAGCTCAAAAGGAGTTTGGCCCAGGGATCCTTGCACCTCAGTCCAGCCCCAAGGTTTCTGGCCCTTGCACCTGGTAAGGACGTAGCCAAGGGACAGGGTCTGGTTGTGGTTGGTGAGGGTCAGAGCTGGCTGGGACATGAGCTAGGCAGGGATGCAAGATGAATGTGAAGGAATTTTCCCTGATGATAATTTAATGTGAGAGGATGGTTGTGAGCTGGATACATAGTGTGGGTTTGCTTTTCAGAGCCCTGGGCTGGGTGCTTCCTTGAGAATACTGAGGAGTAGCTGGACAAGGGCCAACGACAGCAGAGAAACACCACGACCCTTCTGGGCAGAGCCACAGACCAGCGTTAATATCCTGTGGGCCCTGCTCTTCCTACTGCTCTCTCCAGAATACTGGGGTCTCTGGGTCTGGCCCTCTCTGTGCCTGATCCTAGTACTGCAGGGCAGGGGCACAGCTCTGACCGGGGCAGTGCCATGCCAGCAGCAGTAAGGCTACAGGAAGAATATTCACTGATCTGGGCAAGCACTTCTCGCAGGTGTGAGGGTTTCTTGCATAAACCTGCTGCCAGGGTCCAAGCCGGTGGTAGTTCGTTCCCCTAGCACAGCTGGGCAGAGCTGGCAGTGGAGGAGCAGCTGGGTTTCTCCCAAACTGGTCACAGCAGGGAAGTGACACTTTGCTTTCTCATCAGTCCCTAAAAGCACTGAGAGTGGAGTGCTGTGGAAGAACTTCTCACAGCTTCTAATAACTTGGTCAGATGCAAAGGCTGGGTGAGGAAAGCCCTACCCTTAGTTGTTGTGCTGGCCAGTAGGAGATACCTGGGCAACTTATGTGTGGGGTTTTTTTTTTCCCCTTAAACTAAATGAGTCGGAGAACAGCTGAGACAGGTACCTTGCTAATCCTCTTGTCACAGGCAGGTAGAAACATACTTCCCTCCTAAGAAATGTCCCTTTAATGAGGTCCTAGGTCACCTGCATCTGTCAAGCACACGGGGCTCAGAGCAACGGGGAGGGCTCCAGTCCAGGCAGAAAGGGAGCCCTGGGACATCTAGCCATAACTGTCGGGGAAGCTATTAACTCAGGCAGCGGTTTCGTACTGCACTGCAGAAGTAGTTAAAGTAGCATGGCAGCAGGGGTGTTATTGAAAGATTGCAATTAAGGCCAACTTTTGGGCCCCCCTCTTTACAGCCCAGCAAGGCCCAGGGAGGGCTCCATCAGGGCAATTCACAAATTGCTCAACTAGCTAATTAGTTTCAATCCTACGGCACAGCATCCCCTGCCCGGCCGCGCGATGCTTTGTCCTCGTGTGCGCTCTGCAGCC